ATAATATATATATATGTACATACATACATACATACATATATTTTTTAAAACAAACCGCCCTCTCCCACCGAGGCAGGGTGACCCAAAAAAGAAAGAAAATCCCCAAAAAGAAAATACTTTCATCACCATTCAACACTTTCACCACACTCACACATTATCACTGTCTTTGCAGAGGTGCTCAGAATACAACAGTTTAGGAAGCTAACGTATATACACAACATATCCCTCCAAACTGTGCCATATATAATATATATATATATATTATAAATAATATATATTATATATAATATACTATACATACAGTGGACCCCCCGCATAGCGACCTTAATCCTGAGCAAAGAGGCTGGCTGTTATGCGAAATGTTCGGTATGCGGAATGATTTCCCCCATAAGAAATAATGGAAATCAAATTAATCCGTGCAAGACACCCAAAAGTATGAAAAAAAAAATTTTACACATGAAATATACATTTTCCTACACCACCAAAGAGAAAGGATACAGCACAATAGAATATAAGTACAGGCACAATATAATTGTGCATGTACACTCTACTAAATGAAAATACATGACACTTAAAAAAAAAAAAACCCCTTTATTGAAGGGATGCAGAATGACCGATGAGACACTGGGTGTCCTGGAGTGCCGTTTCCACCTGAGTAATGAAGGGTCCTGTTTTGGCATTTCTTCCATAACAGCCTTATCACACGTGTATGTCACTACGATTCTTAATCTCTCAAAACAACCTTTGCTGCTCTAAATTCACCAATATGATCACTAGTTTACCACATTTTCCCTGTTCACCTGGTGTTAGTCGTCTGTGTGGGTTGGGCATCCTGGGAGAGAAGATAAGGACCCCAATGGAAATAAATTTATACAGTCTTCGATGACCGACTTTTGGGTTATCCTGGGTGGCAAATCCTATGTGGGGTTAATTGTTTTCTTAGTATTCTCAATAAGCCACACCAACAACGTGGTACAGCAGCAGCTGACGGTGTACAAGCATCAGCAGATGCGATGCTACAGCAGCAGCAGCCAGCAGCTGACGGTGGTATACAAAGCAAGCAACAGAACGATGCTACAGCAGCAACAGAACGATGCTACAGCAGCAGCAGAAGATGCTACAGCAAGCAAGCAGACGATGCTACAGCAGCATCAGACGATGCTACAGCAGCAGCATAACATCTACATCAGCAGCAAGAGACCGATGCTACAGGACAGCAGCAATGTTACAACAAGCAGCAGCTAGCAGCTGACGGTGGTAACAAGGCAGCAGCAGCTGACAGTGCAGCTAAAAAAGGGCAGCAGACAGTGCAGCAGCAGCTGACGTGGTACAGCAGCAGCAGCAAGCAGCTGACGGTGGTACAGCAGCAGCACAGCAGCTGTACCACCAATAGTATCTATGGTTTGATTGGGTTATATTATACAACCTGGAAAGCTCGGAGACACGCACTCCCATTCATACTTATCAATGAATCCTTTTTCTTCCATCGCCATAGTAATTCCTCACCCTTATGCTGTAGGGTTGGCACTAGAAGCTTTCGGGGCCCCATGGTCACATATTTTCCAGAAAAAAATCACCAAAAACACGTAATAATACGAAAATGTTTCCGATTCTAATGCTTGATTTACCACCGCGGAGGGCTAGCTGGAAACAGATGCCACGGCAGAACAGTGAGCGTGGCTTCAGGCCGTACCATTGGACGCGTCTCGACGAAGGGCGGTGAGCGGGTTAATTGGGCGGTATGCGAGGCAAAATTTTTGTGAATGCAAAGCCTCCGTAATTCGGATTGTACGGTATGCGATGCGTCCGTATCGTGGACCACTGTATATACAAACACGGCCCCCGGTTACAAATTTTTTCATTCCGGAAGATGTTCAGTGCCATACTGACCGAAATTTGTTCCCATAAGGAATATTGTGAAATAGATTAGTCCATTTCAGACCCCCAAACATACACGAGCAAACGCACTTTAACATGAAAAACCCTTACATAATTGGTCGCAATTGGGGAGGTGATCGTTAAGCGGGGGTTCCACGTGTGTGTGTGATGGGTGTGGTGTGTGTGTGTGTTTGGTGTGTCTGTGTTTGTGTGTGTGTATATATATTATATATATATATATATATATATAAATATATATATATATCCAGCAAGTGCGTGCATGAGCGTAGTTAGATAGGATGAATGGAGACGAATGATACTTGGACCTGACGATCTGTTGGAGTGAGTAGACAGGGTAAATATATAGTGAAGGGGATTCAGGTAACCGGTTTATTTTCATATAGTCGGACTAGAGTCCAGGATATGGGAAGTACAATGCCTGCACTTTAAATGAGGGGTTAGGGAAAATTGGCAGTGGTGGGGGGGGGGGAGGGGAGATGTTGTGGTATCTTTATATGTAATGCTTCTAAACTGTTTGTATTCTGATCACCTCTGCAAAAAGCAGAGTGATAAGTGTCGTGTGTGAAAGTGTTGAATGATGATGAAAGTATTTTCTTTATGG